ATATATATATATATATATATATATATATATATATATATATGCATGCATGCATAATATATATATATATTTATATATATACACACACATGCATATACAATTTGTGCAAATGACATACATTTAAACATATATCAATGTGCATAAACACACATAATGTATGTGTTATATACTTATATATTAATCAAAATACATACTAACCATTAACAGTATATACACAAAATATAATAAAAAAGTATACTTATCATAATGGTGGCTGCCTCAACATGTGCTGTCTGTTCAATATGTTAACATACAAATATGGAAATTCTACACCAAAATCCTATTAGAAAGGAAATAGGCTATATAATTTATTACTACAAATATGGCACAATCTGGCCTTGGTTTTAACTGGCAAAATTCACTGGAGTCCTAACTGTAAAGATAGTGATTTTCTTTATAACATACTATACTATGGATGAAAAAATATGTAACCATATGTGTTGCAAATTCCAGTAATATATTGTGCTAAATATATATCCATTCATTTTTTACAAAATATTATTTTCATTATGCCTTAGCTTTTCTGGATGCCATATTCTCCATATACATTATGAATAAAAACTTGTTATTCTGTAAATGATACATTACTCATTAAATGTTTAACTTGTAGATGTGAATAAGCCTTCTGCAATAACAAATCAATCATGGAGTCAATTGTTTGAAAAAGGCAACATTTTTGTGCATAAACATTCTCATCTGTAAGATGGGAAATGGAGAATCTTGTACAGAAACAGTTAAATGTTTTCTGTAAATTACTGGAGCAAGAGCAGACATAATAATCAAAAGAAAGATATAACCTTGCTGTACATACTCAAAAACAGACAAGACTTTTGACATAAGTAAAAGTGTAAAGGAAATCTGCTAAGGAAAATCTTATTACTGGCAAATGAAAGCATAATAAATATGATTTTTTAAGCTATTACCTAACTTATCCATTCTAATGGGGGAAATGGAGATTAGACCTAAGAGAAACCTAGGATTCAATATAATCATCAATTCTCACATTATCATACATCTCGACAAGTAAATCAAACTGCATACCATTCTCCAGATAACTAAACTGCTGAACTACAAGTAACATCATTTTAAGGGCAATCCAAAAAATATTTCTTGTTACAGTAAGCATATACTATGGTGACTATGGTGCTGAGCATACACCCACTGGAAAATTGTTTTCCTTTCTAGAATATTACAAGGAGAAGTTTATTTCTTTTCTTGAAGCATACCAACAAGGTCAGAAAGTGCAGTTTTTGTTTTGTGCAACACTACAACTTGGCCTGCAAGTCCATCCTGCACAGACCCAATCACATATTCCATTTCTGCTTCAGTGGTGCCTTCTGGATAAGACAGTAACTGGTCATTACTTTCACATAATTTTTCAAGAGGAGCAGCCATCAAATTACGACCTTTGCCCTGACGCCACAGTGGAATCAGTTTAAATTCCTCATGAGGCAGTTCTGGTAACATTGGTGTAGTAACACGGCTACTGCTGACACTCCAGCTCTCCATATCCACGCTTCTCGCACATGATCCCTCTCTCTCATGGGATTCTGTGTACTTAAATTCATTAGAAATATCTGGAGTCCTTAATGGTCTATGTCCCAACCTTGGAGAGCCAGGGATGAGAGGGGTACCACTAGGTGTGACACTGCCATCTCTGCTCATGCCAGGAGCTCCTTTTCTTAGTCTTGGGCGGAAATGCCACAGGTGATCAACATGTGAGTCTAGTTTGGAAGAGCCACCCATGTGTACGTTGAGAGTGGGACACTGCACCAGGCACCCACAGATGATTCCCCAGTGCGCCTTGTGACCACCCCGGAGCCCAGGTAGATGATTCCGCTCAGCATCATAACTTTGGCTTAGTTAAGAAAACAAAAACAGTAGGATATATACAAGGGATGATGAACACAATGTCATTTGCTGTAAAAAAAGGACATGATTCATGAAGTATTACTGATGTAATGTAAGTTAAAATATATACATTCTTAAATCATACTAAACTTTACTTATACTGAAATGAGGAGACTAATGTATAAATGTGATAACAAAAGCTATACTACCTATGCATAACTAAGACCATGAATGCTGTCTGTAATGATCAATAGAACTTTCATCATGATCCCAGGTGGTGTCTATACCCTCCCAATCAATCAGTGCCAAGATGTCAGGGAACTACTCTCATGAATCTATGAAAACTTTTTTTTTCAGAAGCAACATATAGTTTTAAAATACACTAAGTCACCAAAAAGGGATAAAAAATAATATCCAAGAAAGCTTTAACCCAATGTCAGTGGGTTTATGTACTCTCCCCTTTAATTTTTTTGAGTTTTGATATAAATAGATGGCTCCATGTTTGTCCAGCCACCAAGGAGTCTATTAGTTGGCCCTAATGACTGACCATGATTTCTCCATTTCTTGAATTGGCAGAAAAATATGTTTTTCTTTCTTATACTATTAATATTGAAATTGTTATCAGTCTTATTGATATTATGATTATTAAATTGTTATCAAAATATTAATAACATCAAAGACATTAAAAGAATATAAATGAAGCTTTCAAAAAATCAATGAAAAGGGTAAACAGGTGAGATAGGTAAGACTAATAGTCTCCTCCGTGACTAAGCACTTGTAATGTCATTAATCTGTAAAGACAATAGATAAACTTTTATTACAATGGGCAAGGCATTGTAATCTTGCCACCCAATGAGTTAAATACACTTCAAATTAATCATGTTTCTACCTTTTGCCATCCTCAAACTAGAAAATGTTCATTAATTAAATGATTGAACCAGTGCTATAAAAGGATACGGCACTAAAATCAAATCTCCTTTCATCAAGAGTTCCAGGAGGGTCCTTGGGTCACACAAGACATCTCTTCTGATGGTTGCCTCCATCCCAGTAATTCCTTCTGCCAGGCTAACCATGGCTTCTGAACTAAACATCTCTCCATGCTTGGTAAAGCCTCTTCTCCTGGCCTCTTTTAGTAAGTCAGCAACATCTACAGTCTCAGGAAAGACTTGAGATGCCATACTAAGAGCCACTAAACCACATCTAGAAAGGAAAATTACAAGTAAGTATTTGTCAAGTGATTTGACTTAAGTAGGTAAGTCTACCCTATCTGTCCTCTCTGTGGCACATACTAATTACAAATAGTGAAAAAAATATATATTTCCAAACTATCACACCTATTCCATAATTTTGATGATCAAAGATCTTTATACTTACTGTGGTCCCTGCTGGATATTAGGTCGTAGCTGAGTATAGACTGACAGTGTTTCTGTTTCCTCTTCCAAAATTCCCCAGTCCTTAACATTTACAAAGACTTTCCTTATCTCTTCTTCTGGTGATGGGAGTGGTAAATCACTTCGGTTGATGACAACCTTGCCATATGGTGAGATTGAGAAGAGAGAGGAGTTGGGAAGGCCAGGTTTAGGAGAAGTTAGGCAAATGTTAGGTGGTGGAGGTGGAGGTGTATACTGAGATTTATCATCTGATGATGTAGATGAAGGTGCTGGTGGTGGCACAGGGGGGACTGAAGAAACTGGAGGTGTCACATTAGATGTAAGCATGGATGAAGATGAAACAGCTAATGCTTCTGTTGCAGGTTGTGCTGGTGGAGGTGGAGGCATGGTAGGGGGTTCTTTGGAACTTTCTGCCGAATCTGAAGTAAAAATACTTACTTGATTAGAGAATTTTTTGTCATTATCCACAAGAGATGTGAGATATTCCCCATTTGATACAATTTTGGGGGGAGGTGGAAGTGGTGGAGTTGTAATTATATTTCTTGGAGGTGGAGGAGGAGGAGGAGGATGGAGGGGGCGGAGGGAGAGGGGGTTCAGACTTGCTTTGGGAATCTACTGGAGGGGGAGGTGGTAGGGGTGGCTCTTCTTCAGACTCTTCTTCAGGGGGTGGTGGAAGAGCTGGTGGCTTATCATCAGTTTTCACGTCCAACTGAGAACTGGAATAGGTGGATGAGATTGTAATGGCCTGAGCATTGGTTTGTTCCTCTTTATTTGATATTCTTGAATCTGCTTCACATTCACTTAAAGAGGGAGTGGTAGCTCTTGCTGTGGCACTGGAAGTTACTGGAGAACATGTGTCTGAGTTTCTAGATGATGCAGAGGGTTGAGGTGTAGATGGTGATGAAGTCTCCTCTGGAACTGGAGTCAATTTTGGTGTTGGACTAGAGGGAGTGTTTAGAGATGATATTGGAGGTGGTGGAAGTGGAGGAAAATCAATCCATTCATTCTTAGAAGCCGGAGTATGAATGGCTGATCTGGGAGGTGGAGGTGGAGGAGATTTGCGTATTGATGTAGATCGGGGTGGAGCTGGTGGGGGACTATGCCTTCTAAGTGTCGTCTGGGGTGGGTTGATTGGAATCAGCATATACTGCCTAGGAGGCGGTAATGGAGCACTCATGCCTGGCTTGGGGGTGTTGACACAGGATCGAGGGGGAGGCGGAGGGGGAGTCTTGGCGTGGGGCACTGGCGGAGGTTCAACAACATCTTCCAGGATGCTGTGAAGGGGGGAAGAAGAAGACAATAAGGTGTGGGAACCATTAGTTGGAGTGTGTGAAGCACTGACTGAACTACTTCCTAAAACTGAAACCTGACCTTCAAGTTTATTTTCATGACTAGACTCTGGGAAAACCTGTTTGTCTGAACTAACTATAGGTATACTATCAGCATGACTACACTCTGGTTCTACATTTTCCCCATTATTGTCCTTTCTTTCATCAATATCAAAACCATGAATTTTACTTTCTCCCTGATCTGCAATGATGGATGTTTTAAGGCCAGTGCCAGTAGTGTGTTGTATGGATGATTCAGGGAGAGTGATTGAGGCAGGTGTGGCATTCTGAACACTACAGACATTCAGTGTTACATCATTAGTTTGGCAATCATCACTCTTGACAGAACCTATGGGAGATGGGAGGGTACTTGATTGTGAAACTGACTCTACAAGAGCTGAAGGCTGAGTACTCTCACTCTGTGGGAGTGGCTCTACAAATGAACTCTCTGGGATTTTGACTCCATTGGTTATAAGAGGCTGCTCTGACACTTGTGGACCACCATTTTCCACTTGTTTTTCTTGTACCGGTTTACCATCTAATTGAGTTTTACATCCTCATTTGTATTGTTGTTGAGGACATCAGCAGTGTGAGATGAATCAGAATCTTTTCTACCATTTTGTTTTTGGTGTTTTGGTTCACTATCTTCTTCCTGAGATTTGCCATTTTCTGTTAGATTTTTCTTCTCTTCATTTACAGTTTCTTTAGCATTCAAGGCACCTGCTTCCTCTAGTGTTTTGGAGAAGTGGAGGAATGAGGGGAACAGAAACCGATTCATTTGGAGGGGGCGGAGGGAGAGGGGGTTCAGACTTGCTTTGGGAATCTACTGGAGGGGGAGGTGGTAGGGGTGGCTCTTCTTCAGACTCTTCTTCAGGGGGTGGTGGAAGAGCTGGTGGCTTATCATCAGTTTTCACGTCCAACTGAGAACTGGAATAGGTGGATGAGATTGTAATGGCCTGAGCATTGGTTTGTTCCTCTTTATTTGATATTCTTGAATCTGCTTCACATTCACTTAAAGAGGGAGTGGTAGCTCTTGCTGTGGCACTGGAAGTTACTGGAGAACATGTGTCTGAGTTTCTAGATGATGCAGAGGGTTGAGGTGTAGATGGTGATGAAGTCTCCTCTGGAACTGGAGTCAGTTTTGGTGTTGGACTAGAGGGAGTGTTTAGAGATGATATTGGAGGTGGTGGAAGTGGAGGAAAATCAATCCATTCATTCTTAGAAGCCGGAGTATGAATGGCTGATCTGGGAGGTGGAGGTGGAGGAGATTTGCGTATTGATGTAGATCGGGGTGGAGCTGGTGGGGGACTATGCCTTCTAAGTGTCGTCTGGGGTGGGTTGATTGGAATCAGCATATACTGCCTAGGAGGCGGTAATGGAGCACTCATGCCTGGCTTGGGGGTGTTGACACAGGATCGAGGGGGAGGCGGAGGGGGAGTCTTGGCGTGGGGCACTGGCGGAGGTTCAACAACATCTTCCAGGATGCTGTGAAGGGGGGAAGAAGAAGACAATAAGGTGTGGGAACCATTAGTTGGAGTGTGTGAAGCACTGACTGAACTACTTCCTAAAACTGAAACCTGACCTTCAAGTTTATTTTCATGACTAGACTCTGGGAAAACCTGTTTGTCTGAACTAACTATAGGTATACTATCAGCATGACTACACTCTGGTTCTACATTTTCCCCATTATTGTCCTTTCTTTCATCAATATCAAAACCATGAATTTTACTTTCTCCCTGATCTGCAATGATGGATGTTTTAAGGCCAGTGCCAGTAGTGTGTTGTATGGATGATTCAGGGAGAGTGATTGAGGCAGGTGTGGCATTCTGAACACTACAGACATTCAGTGTTACATCATTAGTTTGGCAATCATCACTCTTGACAGAACCTATGGGAGATGGGAGGGTACTTGATTGTGAAACTGACTCTACAAGAGCTGAAGGCTGAGTACTCTCACTCTGTGGGAGTGGCTCTACAAATGAACTCTCTGGGATTTTGACTCCATTGGTTATAAGAGGCTGCTCTGACACTTGTGGACCACCATTTTCCACTTGTTTTTCTTGTACCGGTTTACCATCTAATTGAGTTTTTACATCCTCATTTGTATTGTTGTTGAGGACATCAGCAGTGTGAGATGAATCAGAATCTTTTCTACCATTTTGTTTTTGGTGTTTTGGTTCACTATCTTCTTCCTGAGATTTGCCATTTTCTGTTAGATTTTTCTTCTCTTCATTTACAGTTTCTTTAGCATTCAAGGCACCTGCTTCCTCTAGTGTTTTGTCTGACTCATTTGAAGGAGAGAGAGACAGCTTTTCTGAAGTTTGATGTGTATCCTGTTGGATACTTGTAGAAGCTGGTAAATCTGCACTTAAAGTTTCTAGGTTACCAACAGTAGCATTCAATAACAGCAGAGCATTGTCAGATTTTGCAGAGAGTATTTTGGGTGAAGGCGACTTTCTTGAAGAGTCTGCCTGACAACTTCTGGCAGTCACAGGCGATGGTGTCCTTCCTGGGGCTATTGTACCTTCAGTATTTGTTTCACTGTGTGGAGAAGTAAGAGATATTTTTGACTGAGCTGATAATGAGGATACTTCAAGCTGAACTCCATGGCTTGGGGTAGGACTCCTTGAGTGGGGGAAAGATGCAAGTGGCTGTCTCCTCCTTCTAGAGTTTGGAGATTTTGGTGGAGTGCCAAAGGGTGCTCCCTCTGAACCCTGGAAAACATCTGAAACTGAACCCGTTATTGTAGGTATTACTAGACATGTTTGAGTGGTATCTTTGGAAGAGTTTGCTCCTCTTTCAGAATTAATTTTGTCAGTTTGATCATTGTTACTAGTCAGTTGTTTTCCACTATTCTCTGCCACAGTTGTTGAGGCAACTTCACAATCAGGTTTTGCATTATCCTCTTCAGCATCAGTTTTATCTTCTGAACTGCCCTTTATCAGTTGCTGGGAAATCTCTCTTTCTTCTCCTGATTTCTCTTTGTCTGTCATATTAGGTCCACTGGCAGTAATCTCTTGGTTTGCCTTTTCCTCATTTTCCATTGTTTGTTCTTCATTTCCCTTTGAATCATTCAGATCAGTAATGTTCATCAGATTTGACTTCAATATTTTCTTTATCATCAGGATTTTGAATATTATCATCATCTTCCGTACCTTTTGTCTTCTGAGCTTCTTCACTCTTCTGATTTCTCAAAATTTTGCTTTGATGTATTATTCTCAAGTTCTATATTTGGCTGTCCTTTTAACTCATTACTTACCTCTTTTTTCTTTTCATCTACGTCCTCATGATCAAGTTTTACTTCATCTTCTTTGCTACTAGAATCTGACTGTGCAGAAGTATCGCTGTTTGTTGGAGTATCCTTACTTTGTATACATTTATTAACCTCCTTTTCTTCACATTCTGATTTCTCTTGTCCATTTTTGTTAATTTCCTCTTCAGTTCTTGATTCAGTTTCCTTATGTACATTTGATTCTTCTTCTGTGCTTTGCTCTTGAGTTTTACATTCCTTGGTTTCAGAAGCACCATCACTCTCACTGTTTTTCACATCAGGACAATCCTGTTTTTCATCCCCTTGTCCACTTCCAGCTTTACATGCCTTCTCGCCACTCCCTGCTGTCGATTCCCCCTGTCCCGTGAGGTTGATGGGCTGGTAGTCTTTGTTTTCACCTCCCTTTTCATTCTCTGACACCTGTGACATCACAGAACTGCCCTGGGTTGATGTAGATTTCATGTGAGATTCGGAGGATTGTGATGCCACTAACCTTTCTGCATTGGTGACCTTGTGATCAGGACGATGTTGTGATGACGCCATTGTTCTTGCTGAGGAGACAGCGAAGGTTGAAGAATGTGGGGATGGAGAGAAAGAAGATGGACAGACAGGATATTGAGAACCAGAAGACGCAGTGCCCTCACTGATCACCAGAGAGCTTTCAGATAGATGGGGAGTAGATGATTTGGAGTCCAGAAAAGGAGAAAGTGAGCTGGGTCTTGAGGTAAATGCCTCTGTGGGAATGGGTGATGGTATTGGGGTTGTAGTTGGGTTGGTTGACAAAGGAGTAAGGTAGTCATTAGGGACTGGTGTTATGGTACAGGATTCTGTGAATGCTGGAGATGCTGTTGCTGAAGCCATTGTACTGTCAGCAGTTGCATAAGCAGTATCTGAAACCCCTGGGGATGATGAGGAGAGCATATAAGCATCTGTAGTAACAGCAGTGGTGAAGGTCGTTACGCTGCACGTGTCTGCTTCCAAAGCTAATGAATCAAAATCCCCTGTCGGTGACAAGGTGTCTGCTGCTAGGGAATCAAATTCAGCAGAAATAGTGTCACTGTCGGTGGGGAGAGAAAACAAAGACGGAGGTTCAGTGGAGAATGGGGACGACATTTGCGCCATTTCTGTGGTAGAGGTGTTGGCAGTGCTGGGAAAAACAAGGGTGTCCAGATCTGACCTCTCTGTTATCACATCATTTCTGGCAGAGAGGGAATCGTCATCTTCATTTCCCTGTGATATATCTTCGCTTGTTGATTTGGGCAAAGGAGACAACGCATCATCCGAGGTAACGGTTGCAGATAATACATCGTGGCTAGTCTCTGAAATGTGGGTACTTGTGTCCATGCTGTCAGGAACAAGAGATAGTGTCAGGTCAATAGGCGTTGAGGATACAGATCCTACTATCTCAGAGAGCTGTGGTGTGACCTCGGGTGTTTCCATATCTATAGTGGAGTCTTTACTATTATCATAAAAGTTTGATGCAAAGGTCACATCACTCGAGGGCGGCGTCATGGTGAAATCATCTGTGAACTCTAGCGACGACGAAGTGGGAACTGGCGAGACTCGGAGGGCGTGAGGGGGCAGTGGGGAGAGGCCAGATTCAGGAGTGAGGAGCATAGTGGCTGTCAGAGTAGATGATGACACCAAGCTTGAGGCTGGACGGCCGTCGGCGGAATCCTCGGTTACGTTCTTGCCCGGATACGCTGTGCTTGTCTCCCCTCTGGTCTTCGATTCTTCTCCAGACGCTTCACAGGAAGACTCTGGAGAGCCTGCGCTGGTGGCGATCTCCGACGTTACAGCCAAAGCCTCCGCCGCGGGGGTGTCTGTGTGTGTTGTTGCAGCCAAGTTTTCTTTCGACGCCTGTCGCACGGGCGGCGTCGGAGGAGGAGGAGGACTAGGGCGAGGGGGAGGGCCAGTTCGAGGGGGAGGAGGAGGGGCAGGAGGTGGAGCTTGTGGGAATTGCTGTTGCTTCGCGGCTGCAGCAAATTGTGGTGGGAGCTGAGGATCGTATTCTGACTTTACCTCTGGCGAGGGCGGGTCGTAGGAGCATATGTACATCGGGGGCGGCGGGGGCGGTAGGTCCATCATGAGATGGGCCGGGGGTGGGGGAGGCAAGTCCTCCGATGAGAGTTCAGGGAACAGGTAGGAAGGGGGAGGAGGCGGTGGAGGCGGAGAGGAGGAGAGGGAGTAGAAGTCCGGAGGAGGAGGAAGGTCGGGCGGGGGCGGAGATGCAACCGAGCCTAAGTCAACAGGTGGAGGGGGAGGTGGTGGTGGAGGAGAGGAGGAGGCGGGCGGGGGTGGAGGACTAGAGACAGGTGGGGGCTGAGGCGGGCCTGGTGGCGAAGACAGCGCTGCCGCAGGGGTCTGAACGCTCGCCATGGCGGAGGAAGAAGTGCTAGACTGAGCGGTGTCGGAAGACGGGGCGGTTTCTGGGTTTTGAGCAGACAAGTTCCTAGGAAGAGGGACAGGAGGAGGTGAGGCAGTTACAGCAGAAGTAGCAGCAGGAGTGTCAGCAGTGGTGCCTACAGCTACGGAGGCCATTCTACCATCTGGGACAAGAAAACATTACAAAACAGGACGAATCCAAACAAAGGTATCAGGGTTATGGCCGTAATATAATCTGACACAAGGGAAAAGTTGCGAGTGATATCTAGAAATCATATGTCTCAACAAAACGATTATCTATAGAAGCAGTGGCACACTCACTGTATAAATTCATGTCACGTTGTGAATTAGACCAAACCTGATATCTAGACATCACGCACTAAACACGAATGTTTTGTGTAAATGTACTGTATCATATGATTATACTTTGTAAAATGAATTATATCTATACTATATCAATATCACTTTCCTATTATAACCTATCAACATAATCATGCAGTCAATAAAAATAAGCACAATGCTAAACATTCAATATCGCACATAGGATACCAAGTGCTCAAGAACATGGATTTTTTTTACTCTTATATTATTTATCGACGCTTATCATCTGTTAGTCACTAGGAAGTTGTTTAGCGTTTACCCCTTAGCGCTTACTTTAGCGTCATTAGTTTTGATAGATTGCCTTCCATCGCACATACTTCCATATGCGCTAACTCCCCCAGGAGCGGAAATAGTCAGGCACGTAAAAGCAAATGTCAATAAAAAAAATTGCAAGCTTACTATAATACCACTTCTACAGTAGACTGTGATGTACAGACGCATTTACCAGTACATTTGATTTCGCGCTTGTCCTTCGCGTCCGGAGGCACTCGTCTGTCGGAGTTGCGGTGTGACCTCAGGTGTCTATTTGGAGGAATTCAAAGAGGAGCATGTTTAGCCCCACCCTCTGGGAATGCCATTTATAACCCTCAGCCCCTCGCTCGTGTTAGTCCCGCCCAATCCTGACGCGTCTGGTACTAATAAGCACGCATAACCAGCGTGAAATACAGTTTCCCCGATTCGCGCCTGGACTTTTACAACTAATTCCGAATCTGTTAAGACGCAGTATATACCGGGCTAATAAATCGTTACTGATCTGTGGGAATTTATTAACTATTGTTTCTTCTTTCGGCGTAGATACAACTAGTAACAATAATCTGTGAACATTTAGTGTTCACTACGCTGGGTTATATATATTACCTTAAATTCATCTGTAATGGCCAGAAGTTTAACAGTCAAGTACCGGGGCCATAATGCGTAATGAGCAACATAGTAGGTGTATCGGTGCCGGGAATATAATAACACAGCCTCCCGAGAGCCTGAACGTGTGTGCTGACATCCCCAACGGCCATCAGTCACAACCTCAGAGAAGAGCCAGGTGCTGTCAGCACGGCCGACACGGACGGCGGGAAACAGGACTTTCGGCTGCCGCCACGAGACGCGAAGACGAACCTGGCCTCAGGCGAATCAACGCAGAGTTTACACGGTTAGAGCGGTTTACTTTGAAGTCATGGAGGTAATGAGGGAGAACAGGAATAACATGAGTGGGAGATAATGCTGAACTGGGAGAGCCAAAATAAGGAGTGAGAATGCTGACAAGAGAAGAGGAACAACCAAGGTAAAATATAAACATCTGATAGTTCGCAAACAACAATGAATAATAATAATTTACTACAGAAAAGATTTTCTCCATTACAGTCAAACAGCCATATATACAAAAAACAAGAACAAACTATCTGTTCTATTCTCTTGGCTTTTCGTTATGTTACTTGTATTCCTCGTTCTTATTGTCTTCTATCTCTATGAACGTCATACTCCATCGAGGGCGAACGCTAAGCTGAGATCAGAGAGAAATGATATACGAACGAAAGCAAACCCGTTCATTTGATTTAGTAAACCATGGAATGTTGGTCTATCAGTTATGCATTGCAACCCGAGATGCATGCATAATTCCAACTATAAGCGCTGATACACATATACATTACATGCACTGCGCGCGCGCACACACACACACACACACACACACACACACACACACACACACACACACACACACACACACACACACACACACACACAAACACACACACACACACACACACACACACACACACACACACACACACACACACACACACACACACACACACACACACACACACACACACACACCGTCAACAAACCCATATGCAGAATCAG